CGGCCTCCGCCGCTCCTCTGCGCCTCGGGCCGGCTGGCGAACCCTTCGCGTTAGGAACGTTCTTCCAAGAGCCAGTCCTTCCTCGGCGTGAAGCCCGTCTGCTGCCTGCCTGCCTGCCTGCCTGCCTCCGGATGGCGAGAGAACAGCCTTGACTTTCTTCCCGGGTGTTTCAGAACTGCTGTGGGCCATATCCCGGCTGTCTTCGGTCCGGTCGTCAGAGAAGGAGGGGGTTTCTGGTGCCCCGGTCAACGTCTCTGAACCCTCCTCCTTAAAAGATGTTGGCCCAAGCCTGGCACAAGACTTGAGGTGAGGTCTGACCAAACTTAGTATAGCTGTATTTGAACTCTTCACCTTGAAGGATTCCAAATGTGTCTCTCGGAGTGTTAAAAATAAAACAGTCCTTTCCTTCAGGTTTGCAACATAAAATATGCAACATAAAAGGAAAAGTGACACTAAGTAAAAAGACCCTTAGGTTCTGCAAACCAAATGGCCTAGGATAAACCCATGGGAACTGAACGCCACTCAAAGTCAGCTTCAACTGGAGCAGCAGCTTATAAGCCTTGTAAAATAAAATCAATAAAAGAACATTCCCAGGAAGAGATTATTGTTCTCTTCTCAGAATAGTTCTGTGCACTGCTTTTTCTGAAAATGGAAGCATTATTGGCCAGAAGTCCCATTCACTGGGAATGAAATCAATGCCTCTGCAGTCATTCATGTAAACTCCCAGTACTGATTCACCTTGTTCAGTGATTGGGATGTCTGGGTCCCTAATCATGGGTCCAACCTTCTGGACTCAGCTCGGAGTTCTTCCTGGATTGACCAATGGATTTAGAGGATTTGTACCCCACACTTCAGGTGAGGGTCGCAATGGACACTAAAAAGTCTGAAAGAAAAGGAAAACCAGCCTGCCTAAGTTGGGTCAGGGGGGTGGGGAGGCTCCCCTGCCTCCTTCTCTTTTCCACAGGGCAAAAGGTGCGAAAGGAAGGAACAGGAGACCTAATCAAGCTGCAGCAGGAGCAAGGGTGCTGAATTCCAGCTGCCAGCTAGCCAGAAGGCTTGCGGGGGGGGGGGGGGGGCAGGGGGCAGTGGCTAGAGCCATTCTGCATCTCAACTCTGAAGGTTGGTGAAGGCTAATTATTTCTTCCACTGTGTGTTTGTGTTTTTTCAGGTCTAAGCCCGAGGACAGGGCTTTAAAGACACAGACAATAATGCAGGAGAGAGAGTCCTAACCCTTCTGAGTCTCAGTTTTGGGAGCGCCCTCTCTGTGGCCACTCTGTCCAGGGACAGAGAGCAAGAGAGAGTCAACGCGTGTAAAACCAAGTGGTGGAGAGATGCTTGTGTCTGCAGCTGTTCTTTCCCTAGATGCCAGCGAGGAATTGTAGCAATGCAGAAGCAGAATCAACACCCGAATGGTGGGAGGGGGGATTGGCACCCAATGCTAAAAAATTTATCTCTTTTGAAAAGTAAAACTTCGGAGATGTAACAAGGGGGATCAAACCTGGCCTGCAGGTATGCATATGAATGTGCAAATAATACATTTTGTCTTCAGCAGAGTCATATTTAATTGCAGGTTAGAGTATCAAAAGTCATCTTGACTTTCTGGTACAGTTTCCCACTCTTGCATATTATCTCAGTATGAAGTCAGATTTCACAGAGAAACACAGATATAACATTAATTGGAAACCTTTGGTCTCTGCCTTCTCATCTGTACATTTATTTTCTTGACAAATTTATAAATTGCCCTCTGTCCACTGAATGCTTGAGGTGGTATACCAAATTCAGATAAAGACAGAATAAGAAAACCAATATATCATAGTGGAAACAAAAACAAAAAGCGGAACATTCATCCCAAGAAAATATGAATAAATCATTAAAAGCCATTAAAAGCTCAAAAGAATAATACAGTTTGTGCTGCCCGTCTGAAACAGAAATAAAAGTAAATAATGGAGACAGAAGTATTTTGACCTTCCTGGAAAGGGGGTTATCCCAAGCGCTCATCAGTTTGGAGAGTCGGCATGAGGTTGGAATGGCCCCAGGGAGACCCAGGGAGAAGTCATAGAAAGCTCCAACGTGATTTGGGGCCAGCTCACGGGGGGGTCGTTGTAAGGAAAATTTGAAGACGGAATGCTATACAAATGCACAGAATTATAGATAGAATTACAGGCATTTCCCTAACCTTGGAAAGATACTGTGGTGGAGTATTGAAGATGTGAGACTTGCGTCAGGGAAACCCAGGATCTAATCCACCCTAGATCCATGGGGAACTCTGGGTCAGTTCCTCTCTGTCACTCCCCAGAGACAAGGTAGGGCAGCAGTGAAAATGCTGGACTAGGAGCAGGGAGATGCAGGGTCGAGTCCTCCCTTGGACACAGAATCTGGCTGGGTGACCTTGGGACAGCCCCTCTTCTGAGCCCAAGAGCCAGGGTGGTCTAGGAGGTGCTGGATAGGAGTGTAATGGACCGTGAGAATAACCTCGGGAGACCAAAGGAAGAGCCCAGCCAAGACAATGGTCCAGTAAGAGAAATCTGAGTGCAAGGGAGGGAGGGGGGTGGAGAAAGTGTCTCAGAAGGGACCCTCCCTCGTTCTCTGGAAAGTAAAAGCAAGGGAGGGGGAAGTGCTTTTAGACTTGCGAAATTCTGTTATGTAACCCCACAATAAAGGTAATGCTAGTACTCCTGGTTTTGGCTTCCTGTCTGGACTGCCTTGAAGGACTGACTAGGAGTGAGGAGACCTAGGTCCAAGGCCCTCCTCAGCCATGGAAGCTTCCTGGAGGACTTTGGCCCAGTTGTGCTCTCTCAGCCCAATTTACCTCGCAGGCTTGTTGCTGTGGAGAAAATGGGGGGAGGGAATGATATTTATGCCACCATGATTTAATCTAACAAATAAACCTTAACTTCTCTGGAGGAGGGAGACAGAACAAGACTTCCAGTGACAACTGCAAAGAAGAGGCAGCGTGATGAGAGAGGAGGCATCTGACCCCAGGTGGAAATCAGCCTGTTGAACTGGGCTCAGAAATGGAGTGCAGGAAGATCTAGACCGCAGCTGCTCTACTTGCCATGCATTCCAAGCATTCTCTGGGGCAGCCCGTCTGAGATCAGCACTCACCAGGAAGGAACATGGCTAATTTGGGCAGCTGCAATCCTGTCGCTGCAGCCATGAGAAGCAGGAGACACGCAGCAAAGGCAACGTAGAGACTCCTGCACACTCATCAATAGCAGCTGCCACAGTTGTTCCATAGCCTTAAGAGCAGAAGGAACGCGTGGAGAGAGTATAGGAGGATAATTTCATAAGCTGATGCTTGCAGCTGTGACGGTAGGAAAGCTAAGAGCTTGGAGAGTGGTGGTGTCCTCCGTTATGGAGGGAATGCAAGTCGGGTCTATCTCTGGATGTCCAAGCCAGAGAGGGAAGGCTGAGCTGAGGAAGGACGAGGCACGCAGAGTCGGTCTTTGGGACAAGGAAAGTGAGGGTCTCCTCTCCCTGCTAACTCTCCCTACCTCTGTGGCCCCAAGAGGTCTGTCAGTTTATAGGCGCAGGAAACCAGGGCCTGCCAAGTTGAATTCTAAAAACTGTAGGAATCTCTTCCTTCATGGATTGGAAGGGACCTCAAAGTCCAACCCTGTTGTTGATGCCAACTCTCTCCCCCGTTCTGTGAAATGCCTTTGGCATTCTAGAGTAGGAGTAAGTGAGTGCCCAGAGCTGTAGGCAACCCCACACAGCTAAGCTGGGCCTCTGGGCCTGTGGAACCACAGAGGACCTTGGGAGGAAGGGAGCAATAGCTGTCCTGCCATGATTAGGCAAACTGCATGTTGTCCATAAATTGCATTGTGGCTTGTGCCAGAGCTCCTTCAAAAGTTCATGTGGAATTTGTCATCTGTAATGGGGCAGAAGGGGAAACATTAAATGCATAGAGATGGGCGTCTACTAGATTAGGTGAAAAATGGGTTGTGGGAAGCCCATCACCTTCATCCAGAAAATTGCTTATTTTTCATATAGATGTGGGCATTGAACTATGCTTGGTTAAACTGCTTTATGGCTTAGCATGTTTGTTTACATTAGATTTATATCCCACTTTTATTTCTGTGAACCCAGCCAGACAATAATAGTTTGAAATGTATTTAATTGATTCAATGTTATTTAAATTTAAATCAAAAGTAGCCTTAATCTTAATTATGTGAATTGCATTTAATTACCTTTTAATTTACTTCAATTCCTGCATTTGTAACCGTGGCTGTCCTTCCTCTTTGGAGCCCAGTCCTCAGAGTAGCACACACACACAGATACAACCCTCAGCACCCAAAAGCTGAGCATCTTTGCCCTAGATTTACGAAGAAGCAAAACTCCTCGCTATCTACGATTTCACCCCGCCTTGCTAGATGGAGGTTTTCGAAGAAGGGCGTGCACAAGAAAATGTGTACGGAAGAACCCCCTTGCAGTCAGAAGCTCAGCTGGGCTGTTCCAGGTGAATCATGGCCTGGTCAGACTGAAAGCCAGAACCTCTTGATTGTTCCAGGTTCTGACCAAAAGAGACCCAGTCCAGTCTTACAAGGGAGCAGAGCCCTTCCCTTTCTTTTTCCTCCTCCCTGCGACCCACTTTGCGTGCCTTCCTTTTCCTTGGCTGCTCGTAGCTGTGCGCTGGGGAACGCCCACTCCCAGCCCGCCTTCCCTTCCCTCTTGCCACCCT